ACACACATAATTTTAGGGAGTGACTATCCAACCAACAACCTATTCCTCCCGAAGGTTTTAAATGTGAAGAAACTCTTGGATGCATGAGTGGATGATTTTGTCTGTGTTATGATTACAAGAATATAGCTCAAGTTTGACAAATACTAGAGCAAATACAATTTATTGTTGTCCATTGCAGCTATCTTGAATCCAAGACAAGAAACGCAAGCAATAGAGTTCACCTTCCCTAAGATATATTCAACATATGAAGCTCAAGAGAATATCACAAAAGTTCGAAAAGCCATCTTTGGGGTTTATGATGAGTACGTTGCTATGGCTTCCAGTGGAAGTATGGGGACAGATTCTTCAATAAATGCTACATCTTCTATCCAGGGTCCACCTCAAGCATTAGCCGACTATTGGCATGATTTGGATAAGTATTATGGTGAACTTGAGTCCAATGCCCACAAGAGCGAGTCAGTGGATTACCTAGACAAGTCTCGCCAGCCAACTGGACAAAATCCAAAGGATTTCAACTGTTTAGATTGGTAGATAATCAACCGGTCAGCATACTCGGTACTCTCTCAGTTGGTGGCTGATGTATTGGCCATTCCAATCACTACCGTCGCATCTGGCCTACTACAGTTGCATCTGAGGCCACCTTTAGTGCTGGAACTAGGGTGATTGATTCCCACCACACTTCACTTGCTTTAGAGATAGTGCAGATGTTAATGTGTACATCATACAAATCCTAACCTACTTTCATGATTAGGCTAAGTATGTTTATTTATCTAGTACATGGTTGTATATTTCTTCTCAGTTCAATACAAACCCTAAAAGTATGCCTATGGTGGACAAATATAAACATGTAATTAAATCAAGATAGATAAATCATAACAAAAGGCAAGAAATTAAACTAGAAAAATGAATCAAATTCCTTGATAAAAACCCTAATTCTACAAATAATTTAGTTCAACATGATTTGGAAATTATAACACAAATTCAAAGAGTTGCTACAATAATAAGAAAAAGAGTAAGAAAACTTGTCAGTTGCTTGTTCCAATCTTCTCCTTGCGTGTTCTTTAATTCGCCTCCATTTGATCTTAATCTCTCAAGGATAAACTATGAAAAGATGTTAAAACTAACCTAGACTAATGTTTTCCACCCTAAAAACAACCTAAAGAATCCTTATTTATAACTTCTTGAAGATACATCCTAAACAGGATAGGAATATGCTTTATTGGACTCAAAAAATCACATTTTCGCACGTTTTTGGGATGAAGACTGGCTCAATATCCAGCACTAGTCATCGGACCAAGCTCAAAATACAAAAGAATCTGAAGATATCCGGTGCAAAGTTCCTTGCAATGTCTGGCGCCAGTCATGGATCCGCCCGTGAATTGGTATGAATCCACACACATATTACTTTTGAAGCCCCAAAACCCAATCAAATAGGCCAAATCAGTTCCTGGTCAAAACACAAAAGTTTTAACCCATTGAATTAGCATTCCAATGCCACAAGCATCAATGATTTGGAGGACTAGACGTTGAGATATGCCAAAAATACTGAGACCTGGTTGTAAAAGCATCTCAGTGCAACTATACTTTAGTAATTTGGATTTTTTACTCTAAAAACATGAGAGCAGGACTTTGATGTCTTATAAGATTTGTAGAGAATTCTCTTAGCTTCAAATTCAATCAAGAATCATCTCAATCCAATTTATGTAACTCAAGTTATCACCAAAATACTGAAACATATCAATCCTTCCAAACCTCTTTCTCTTGACCTTTTCCTTTCCATTGCTTCTTCACCTCATGTTTCTAGTCTATTTTCCCTCTAATTGAGCTTTTCACCTATTAGAACAATATAATAGCAAAATTAAATAGTTTTTATTCAAGATAAAGCTCAAATAACATGGTTAACTAGCAACTTATATATATAAATGCACTACAATTTACACTCTCTCAAACGTCCCCACACTTAGTCTGTGCTTGTCCTCAAGCACAAGAACAAAACCAATTAAATACAAACAATGACTATATTCAAGGTGATAATTATTAAAGCAACCATTCTAACCAAGTGTCAAGTGCTAATAATGAAAACTAAAGAGATACATTTTCGGTTAATTTTTAATACCTCAACCCTTTCAACTCTATCTAACTAAATTAGGAATATAAAATATTTAACAAGCATTTACTCGCAAATGGCCCAACTATTAAGCAAAATCTCAAACAAATAGCCACATGGATCCACAAAATATTATTATAATCCACACTTTTGTTTCCTTTTTTCTTTATTTTTCTTTATTTCTTTCAAATTCCCCCACACTTGAGCTTTTTCACATTTTAATAAGGGGAAGGTACTTAATTCTCAGCCATTCAAGCCTTTTGACGTGAACTCCAACATCTCCCAAGTAATAGAGCTCGGTTACTCTACTTTTCATAGCTAAAGAATCACATACTCATAACTATCATCACTTTTTGACACGAAAGTCAACACTTTTAGGTGAAGACTCTCGGTTACTAGGCAACGATAACTAGTGGAGTATAGTCAAATTAATAAAATAAACATATAAGCACAAATAAGAATATAAAAGCCTACTTCATATCCCAATAATATGGAGAACAAAAATTAATAATTAGGCCAAATTCACAAGAAAAATGATAGGAAAATATTTACAATACCTAGAAAAATTAGCCAAAAATTCAAAAAAATCTCAAATTATCAAATATTCACCAAAGAGAACTCTAAAGCAACACTATTTAACACTTAATATATTCATACAAATAAACTTTAATAATAATAACTTTTGAAATATAAGCCATTGTACATCAAGGAATAGACAATAAGAACAAAAATTTTACTTTAATCCTTCACCCCTCCCCCACACTTAAGACAACATTATCCTCAATGTTGGGGGATAAAATAAAGAAATAATTACAAGAAAAAAGCTATAAGTGAAACTCCCCTGATAACAAATAGAGTACCAAAAACCAAGTGGGGTGAGAAAAGTTGTTAGTTACCATCTAATAGTCAAGTTCAGGAAACCATCCTACCAAACTATATAAAGACAAGAAAACACTACAAGTAGGAGTTAAATCCAGCACCATTAATCCCAAACAAAAGAAAAATATTTAATAAATAAAATTAGAAAAAAGTCGGGTTACCTCCCGAAAAGCTCTAAGTTTAACGTCTTCAACCAGATGGTGCCAATGTGATTATGATGGATGAAATGGCTCAGATGATTCCACTCCATTCAGTGCATGCACATGAGATTTTCCATAACATTGGTCATCAAAAACTTTCTTTCGAACCACCCAAGAGGAATACTAGCAATGATTTGACTCGAGCATCAACTCAAAACCTTGTTTTGTATCATACTTTTCCCCGGATAAATTGTCAGTAGCATTAAGATATGAACAAGATTCATAAGAAGAGTAATTTAGGGGTTCAAAAATATTAAATTCTTGCTTTTTCTTACCAACCCTTAAAGTCAATTTCCCCTCTAATAAGTCTATATTAGCCCCTCCTGTAGCTTAAAACTCTCTACCAAGGATAATTGGTATACAAAATTTCCTCCTCCATGTCAAGAATAAGAAAATCGGCAAGAAAATAAAATTTACCGACTTTAATCAATAGATCTTCTACAATACCAATAGGATAATGCACTAAACGATCAGCCAGTTGTAGAATCACTTGAGTAGACCCCAAATTGGCAAACTTTAATTTCTTGAAAAATGATAGAGGTATCAAATTAACACTAGATCCAAGGCCACACAAACATTTATCAACAAGAATATGTTCAAATTGACAAGACACAGTAAAACTCCTTGAATCTTTCATCTTGATAAGAAGACGATTTTGTAGCACTGCACTACATTCTTTAGTAAGAGACACCTCTATAAAGTCTTCTCACTTCTTTTTATTGGACACTATTCCTTTCAAGAACTCTACATAAGCAAGTATATTAGCAAGAACTTTAGAAAAAGGCATGTTCACTTGAAGTTTCTTGAGCATCTTCACAAACTTTAGATATTACTCGTCAGTTGCCTTATTCTTAAGCCTTTGCGGGAAGGGATAGGCGGCACATAAGGTTTCACCTCAAGCACCTTCATGCATTGACTATCTTTACCTTGAGTCTTTTCACTTGAACCATTCTCCGAATCTCCAGTTCCTTCACTTTCAATAACAGTTCCGCTCCTATCTTGGTTTTCACTAAGTTCAGTCTTGGGGTTAATGATAGGATCATCCAATACTTTGTCCAAACGAAGAGTCATGGCCATAGTAGTTTCTTTTGGGTTCAGCTTAGTGCTGCTAGGCAATTGTCCTGTACCTTTTCAGTTACTGTCTTTGCCAGCTAACCAATCTGCCTTTCAAGATTTTGAATAGAGGCTTGTTGAGATTGGGCAAGTCTATCGAATTGGTCCATCTTATGCATGTACTGCAGTATTATTTCTTCAAAATTGAACTTCTTCTCCTGAGCAAGTTGGGGAGAAAATTGAGAAGTTGGCTGCAAATTTTGGAACCCAGGTGGTCCCATAGGTCTAACCCCTTGATCCTTCCATGAAAGATTAGGATGGTTTCTCCATCTTCATTATATGTGTTGGAAAAAGGATCATTCCTTGGCTGAAATTTCTATCCACCATATGCTCCAGTAAAATTGACGTCTTCTACCATGGTGGGAGGTTCTCTATTGTAGCAATCAACAGCCGAATGTCCATACATATGACAATAAGCACATGGTTCTTGAGATTGAGTTACCCAATTTAAAAGCAACTGCATCTAATGACTCAATTTAGCAACCTGTGAACTCAAATCCCGTGGCACATTCAATTCATGCATTCCCACTCTCTTACTCCAAATTACCTTTTGTTGAGAATTACTTGCCAACAATTCATACAAAGCAACTAAATCCTCTAAGGTTTTATCATCAATATATCCTCCTGCAACTATATCCACCATATTCTGGGTTGTTAAGGTTAACCCATCATAGAAAAATTAAACTTGCAACATCAATGAATATTGGTGGTGAGGACATTGAGAAAGTAGTAACTTAAAGCACTCCTATGCTTCATGTATTAGCTTTCCATCCATTTATGAAAATGTCCAAATCTTGTTCCTTAAATCGATGGTCTTCTGAGGTGAGTAGTACTTGTTCATAAAGATGTTATAAACATCTTTCCATGTCCTCAAAGATCCTTCAGGTGGATGAAGTAACCAAGATTTAGCACAGTCTTTGAGATAATATGGAAAACACCTCATCCTTAGGTCATCCTCTGAGACTCCACTCAAAGAGAAAGTTTGGACCACTGAATAAAATTTCCTTATGAAGGAGAGCGGGTCTCCATTGGTTAAACCGTGGAAAGCGGGTAACATGCTAAACTTTACCGTTTTGAACTCATTGTTCCTTGCTCCTTCACTTAGCCTGATGCTGTGTAGGGAGGCTGCAATAACAGGACGTTGGATGTCCTTCAAACGAAGTCCTACAAGTGGTTGAACTACCTGCTGTTGATTATTGCCATTATTCCTAATCTCATCTGGCATCTCAAATTTGTTTGAACTATCCGATTCAACTATTTGCAAGGCAATATGGAATCCTGTGAAGATAGTTGCAAAGGTTGTTTTTGTAAGCAAGTCTGCTTCCTAAAATACTTTGCAATTTTTTCAATTTCTGGGTCAAAATCCAAGCCACCTTTGTGAGATCGAGTCATACACTAAGCACCTAAGCAAAAAAAATCAAAATCTAAAGTGAAGAACTAGAAAACAACAAAATAAATAAAAGAAAATAAAAATAACTAAAGTAGAAAAATTAAGTATCATTCCCTAACAACGGAACCAAAAACCTGATCAATGAATTTCTGCAAGTGCACAGAGTCAATCATAGTAATAAAATCATCTAGATTATTCCAGGGGTCGAACCCACAAGGATGAGTTAATTTTCTACTTTAATTATTCTAAAATAACAAAATTTAAATTCAAAGAGTGTTATTTTCTAACTAAACAATAAAATAATAATCAATTCAAATAAAATAGTGGTTAGAAGACAATAGACACGAGTCTAGGGTTTCAGGTTTTAATCCAAAATTTGAGTCAATTATCTAGTTCATTTCTCAATAAATCATGAGCATCATACAATTGTATTTTAGATTATCTCTCAATACATCTAAAGTATGCCTAATTAAATCCTACGTCTCTCTTGAGATCGCAAGTATTCAATTAAACCCTTTAAGAACCTTGGCGATATAAGTGCATCATACAAATCCTAACCTACTCTCGTGAGACTAAGTATGTTTATCTATTTAGTGCACGGTTATACATCCTTTCTCAGTTCAATACAAACCCTAAGAGCATGCTTATGGTAGCTAAACATAAACACGTAATTAAATCAAGATAGATAAATCATAGCAAAAGGCAAGAAATTAAACTAGAAAATAAATCAAAATCCTTCATAAAACCCTAGAAATAATTTAGTTCAACATGATTTGGAAATTATAACCACGAATTCAAAGAGTTGCTACAAAGATAAGAAAAATATTAAGAAAACTTCTCAGTTGTTTGCTCCAATCTTCTCCTTGCGCACTTCTTAATTTGCCTCCATTTGATCTTGATCTCTTAAGAATAAACTATAAAAAGATGTTAAAACTAACCTAGACTAATGCTTTCCACCCTAAAAACAACCTAAAGAACCCCTATTTATAGCTTCTTGAAGATATATCCTAAACAAGATATATCCTGAAGAACTGCTATTTATAGCTTCTTGAAGATATATCCTAAACAAGGTAAGAATAGGTGTTATTGGACTCAAAAAGTCACGTTTTTGCACATTTTTTAGATGAAGATCTGCCTAATATCTAGCACCGGTCATTGGCCAAGCTCAAAATATAAAAGAATTTGAAGATGTCCGGCATGAAGTTCCTTGCAATGTCCTGCGCCGGTCATGGATCTGCCCGAGGACCAGTACAGATCCACATGTAGATCACTTTTGAAGCCCCAAAACTCTATCAAATAGGCCAAATCAGTTCTTGACCGAAACACAAAAGTTTTAATTCTTTGAATTATCTTTCCAATCCCACAAGCATGAAGTGATTTGGAGGCCTGGACATTGAGATATGCCTAAAATACTAAGACCTGGTCATAAGAGCATCGCAGTGCAACTATACTTTAGTAATTTGGATTTTTGACTATGATAACATGAGAGCTGGACTTTGATGCCTTCATAAGATTTGTAGAAAATTCTCTTGGTTTAAAATTGAATTAAGAATTATCTCAATCCAATTTATGTAGCTCAAGTTATTGCCAAAATACTGAAACATGTCAATCTTGCAAAACCTCTTTCTCTTGACCTTTTCCTTTTCCATTGCTGTTTTGCGCCATGTTTTTATTCCATTTTCCCTCCAATTGAGCTTTTCACCTATTAAAACAATATAAGAGCAAAATTAAGTAGTTTATACTCAAGATAAAGCTCAAATAACATGATTAACTAGCAACTTATAAATATAAATGCACTACAATTTTCACCCTATCATCATCCCATGCCTCAGATGTTTTATACATTTTTGGTACTCGAAATTTACTATCATCATCAGCTTCATCTCCTTGTTGCCTATTGGTGTCTCCGATTCGCCCTTGTTGTATTTCAACATCCATAGGAGTGGGATCACAAGTGTCATGGCTTACAAATACTGAGCAGTCAATCATTACTGGAGTGGATGAATTAGCTCCAAACACACATGGTATTGAAGAAACCTCGGGTGGACTAATAGACATGCCTTTAAAATTCAGTTTATGAATCCCATAATTAGATTTTGAATGCCGAAATAAAATGCCATAAATAAGAAAGGATATACAAAGTTTCAAACCAAACAAAGCTTCTGCCATTGGCAAAAATTGAAATTTTTGTCCAAACAAAGTTCTTTTAACTAGTTATTCACAATTGGATATACAAGATATTCAATAACATGCCCATATTTGTTGGTTTTTGAATTATAAACAAGAACAAAAAAGGGGCATCTCTACCTAGTTTAATGCACTCAGTAACCTTTAGCAACTTTAGAAGTACCTAAAATGTTTATCTATTCAAATATTTTATGTTTTTGTTTCCATCAGCTAGCCATAAATCCTGTTATGAGCCCCCTATGATTATAAATCCTGTTTTCATAACTTAGGTAGTCCATTTATGCTTGAAAGTACAAAAAGTTAGTTGCATTTAGTTGTCAAATTGGATCATAGTATGTATTCAACTATTCAAGTATTCATGGTGATAACCAAGTTGTTACTATTTATTTATAAGCTATTTGGCTTACAATGTAGTATCAAAAACCAACATGATTTGCCTAGCAAGTATATAGAAATTAGTAATCTACTCATCATGTTTAACTAAGCAACTTGTCTTAATTGTATAACCATGACCCAACAGGTACATAGATATGACAATATCTAATTATACTAGCTTGTTAACATTCCAACTGAGATATATAAGCAAATTTCTGAAGCCGGTGCATTTTCACATCAATGCAAAAATAGAAAGCATGTTTAGAGCCAATGTCAACAAACTTACCAATTCTCGCAGCTGTCGCACCAACTACCAAATCACTTGTTGAAGGAATCGAGCTAACCTCTATTTCTTCAAAGTTCCAGTACAGCTATGGAGAAGGAATGGGATACGCAAATGAAATCTATTCGATTGCAGCCCCCAATATTTTGTTAGGGTTTCGGGATTAAAAATTAATACCGAATTTATAAAATTTAACCTCATAATGCACATATTTACTACACAAATGCACAATAAATACGTCAATTTGTCAAATGTAGCTGTTGAAATTGGTGGGTTTTGGTTTGATTTCAAACCCTTTACTCAAAGGCGAACCATTGACTCAATTCTGAGCTTGTAGCCTCCAAGTCCAGGAGAAGGAAGAAGGAAGATTAGCCGAAGTGCTTAAAGCTCGAAATGTCACGGCTGCCTTGTAAGAGTCTCTAATTTGTGACTTGTTAGAGTTGAGAGGATGAGCTAAAGAATGAGAGTGAAGAGGAACGAAGGAGTTTCTATTTTTTTTGGGCAAAATACCCAAAAACTCCTTGTGGTTTGCTAAATGTTCAATTTAACTCCCTCTAGTTTGAAAACCTACACTATAATTCCCTGTGATTTCAACTAAATTGAAATTGGACGGAAAGCATCTAATCTTACGATTATACATGAAATGTCAATATTGTCTTTATATAAATGAACTCCTTATGGTTGGTTGAATGTTCAATTTAACTCCCTCTGGTTTGAAAAATTACACTATGACTCCCTACGATTTCGACTAAATTGAAAATTGAATGGAAAGCATCTCACGTATAGTAGGGGCAATATTGATATTTCACACACAACCATTAGAGTTTATGCTTTCTATCCAATTTTCAATTTAGTCAAAATCACAGGGAGTTATAGTGTAGGTTTTCAAATCAGAGAAAGTTAAATTGAATATTTGTCAAATCATAGGGAGTTTTTTTGTATTTTACCCTTTTTTTGTTTTCACTTTTAATCATTTCATTATATTTCTCAAGCAAAAATTACTTATTCACCCTTCATTAATACTACAACATAACTTGTTAGGCTCGTAAATATTGTAACTAACAAACCTAAAAGAGTAAATTAATAATTAAAATATATATTACATAAAATGCTACCAAGCTTGAGCTACTCATCAAGCTTACAATTTCACCTACTAACTACTCGAGCTTGACTCGTTAGCTCAAGCGAGTAGCTCAGACTCGACTCAAGCTCGATTTTGATTGAGCTCGAGTCAAGTAGCTAACCAAGTTACTTGTGAGTTCGATTCAAGCTACTCGATTTCTCTGCACCCCTATTCATGACATCTTTATCATTTTATAATTTTGCATATTGTTCTACACAATAGAAATGATAAAACCCTTAAAATAATTACTATGCAGAAGAATCATAAAGAGTTATAATCATGAGAATCTTACTAAATTCAAGATGTTATTCTTAAATGTCCATAGTCATAGTATTGGCAACAACAAGCATTGCTAACTCAGATATATTAGCATGTACTATATTGCTTCCTTCTGAAGGGAGTAGTTATACTCATCGAATATGGTGTAGAAACACCTGCGTTAGTATCTAG